ACACACACAACTGCCCATACATACACCCAGTTGTTAGAACTGCTGTGAGCTAGCAGTAGTGTGATGAGATTCAGCATGTTTTGTAAAAATTCTCCTTTGTGCATCTTCATTAATGGCATGTCCTCTATTTATTTCCCTTCCTTTTTCCATAGGTCTTACTGCTGCAGCATCTCTTGTGTCTTTGGCATGGGCACTGGCTTCGTATCAGAAAGCTCTTCGTGATTCCCGGGATGACAAGAAACCCATCAGTTATATGGCTGTAATTATTCAATTTTGTTGGCATTTTTTCACAATTGCAGCCAGGGTGATTACTTTTGCTCTCTTTGCCTCCGTTTTTCAACTATACTTTGGAATCTTCATAGTCCTTCATTGGTGTATCATGACTTTCTGGATTGTCCATTGTGAAACAGAGTTCTGCATTACTAAGTGGGAAGAGATTGTGTTTGACATGGTTGTTGGAATAATCTATATCTTTAGTTGGTTCAACGTCAAGGAGGGAAGGACACGTTGTAGGCTTTTCATTTACTATTTTGTGATCCTTTTGGAAAACACCGCCTTGAGTGCTCTTTGGTATCTGTACAAGGTTCCTATGATTTCTGATGCATTTGCCATACCGGCACTGTGTGTGGTGTTCAGCAGCTTTTTAACTGGCATTGTTTTTATGCTGATGTACTATGCCTTCTTTCACCCCAATGGACCACGATTTGGGCAGTCACCAAGCTGTGCTTGTGAGGATTCTGTAGCTGCCTTCACTCTTCCCGCCGAAGTAGCATCAAGTACTTTAAGGTCTATTTCTAATAACCGGAGTGTCACAAGTGACCGGGATCAGAAATTTGCTGAGAGAGATGGGTGTGTGCCTGTCTTTCAAGTGAGACCAACTGCACCTTCCACCCCTTCATCCCGACCACCAAGGATTGAAGAATCTGTCATTAAAATTGATTTGTTCAGGAATAGGTATCCAGCATGGGAAAGACATGTATTGGACAGGAGCCTCAGAAAGGCCATTTTAGCTTTCGAATGTTCTCCTGCTCCTCCACGACTACAGTATAAAGATGATGCCCTGATACAGGAGCGATTGGAATATGAAACAACACTATAAATATAATGCATAAAGAAAACTCAGTGCAACGGCTATGATGCATCCAAATAAAAGGGTAATAATAGGGCCGTGGCAATAACTTAATTTCATTCTACAGCAGATCAGGAAGCTATAGCAGTGTCCTTAGTCTGACTGCCATCATGATTATCATTTGATCCACTGTACCACAGTCTATCTCAGTAAACCTAAAAGAAGCAGCATCCAAGAACCTCAAAGAATCTATTATGTTTGACTGAGAAATAGTCATAGTCTGATGACTCTGATTTTAAAGTGCATTACACAGAATTTAAAAATAAGACAGGAAGGGTTGAATGAGTGACATCCAACACACCAGTGAGTGTTTCTTTCTTTTTCCTTTTTAGAAAATCCCTATGTATGTTTTTATGCTGAGTAATACTTATTTACAAAATAAAGCAGCAGCTTAGAAAAAAATTGTCAGAAGAACTAAATTCATACAGGGCAATGTTACTGTTATCTGAATTCAAGTTTCTATGAAAGAAATTAATATAGTTCTCTTGCATAGGTAAATCGTGAAACATTTTCAAAGGAGAAACATTGAAAAAGGCATTAATAGTTTTTCTCTAATCTAGAATTCTATTTATAATCAAAGAAACTATTCATTTTTATTTTATTAAATTTATTTCCTTTTTTTAACATAAATCAATATTTTATGTACAACTTCAGGGTATTTTTTAACAGAAATTCTATGCAGATGATTCCCTCCTCCCTCCTCAGCTTTCAGAAAGAATGGAGAGTTTTGGTAGTTATTAAAAATGTAAATTAAATGATAATCATGATTAAGTTTCAATTGCAAAAAAACAAAAAAGAAAAAAAGAAACGGGGAGGGAGGGAGATGGAAAATACCAAAAAGGTATACATCCCATATACTGAATTCTGTGAAGATTATGTTCAGAACAACATCAAAAGAGAATAGGTGTTTTAATCTACTGTGTATGAATCCATTCAGGATGTGTGATAATGCATCACAGTATGCTATATCCTTTTAGTGCCAAATATTGTGTAACTGCAAAATTAATATAATATTGTGGTTTGAAGAGAAAATGGGTAACATGTCCTAAAGAAGTTGGGAAGAATACATTGTACTTTCTACAATTATAGACAATGCTATTTACGCAAAAAATGTGTCCCTGGTTTGTAAGTATATAAACTGTATACTTTATAAATACTGTAATCTACAGTAATCTACTTTATGTGCAAGATTTTCTTGAAAGGGTTAAATCCTGTTTCATTGTACTTGGACATAATACAACATTGTGTTTCAGTTTCACAAAAATGTGTTTCAGTGAGCCTTGGATTTACATGCTACCCCATCTCCTGTCATCTGACACAGCGTCTAACAAGATCAGAAGCGTCCATTTCTATTCTAGATGAAATGCCATTTCACTTGCCATTTTAAGGTTAGTTGAAACAAACAATCTGCATATGTAATTATGTAATGTTTTTCCAACTATGGATAATTATAATTAATATCATTTTACCTAACCTTGGTTAGCTAGGAAAGCTAAAATTAATCTAAAATTTCAGTACTCCTCACAAATACACCAAAAGAGGAAGGGAAATACATAAATCCAAAGTTTACTGAGGCTCACTTTTGTACAGCTAAACTACAGTTTAGCCTTATATCCAAACCAGCTAACTGTCAAAAGAATAGTTTTCCATATAGGAATCTGGGCATGATCATAGGAAGTATCTTTTCTTATGTTAAAGTATCCTTGATGGTGCTTTTGGTTGCATTAAAGATGCAAGTCAAAATTTAATAGTATTTTTTTTTAACAAAAATTGGTGCAAACTGGAATAACTCATGGATTATGTCAATATTTTTGTAAAGCAAAAACTCAGTACACAAGTTGTTACTTTTTATAGGCGGAATCTTTTCACATGTGACTCATTCTCTTTACTAACTTAAAGTTTAAAAATTAGTCCATAATTATATCCACTAGTCCTTTGTACATTAATATAACTGCATAGTCTTGACGCTGTACTAGTTTGTTTCACAATATCACGCAATATGAAAATGTCCATTGCTATTTTTAGAATATTTCAAAGCAGTGAAACCTTCAGATGAGTGCTTCAGATTTAGTGCAGTACGTATGATGGCTACTTTTCTGTGGTATCTAAGGGAAATATAAACAGGCTTTTTAATGAATTCTGATGAACTCTAAACTATAAATCAACCTTTTCCAATCTGGAATCCTCCGGTGTTGCTGAGAATGCAACTCACAGAATTTGAAGCCATAACAGTGGAAATTCCAGACTGGGAAAAGCTAATTTATAATTTAGTTTAGCCTGAAATCTTGAAGATTCATAGTGAGATTACAGTTTGCTCATCTCTAATTCAGTTGTTTTCCAAATAGTGGCAAGCTGTACTTTCATTATGTTTCTGCAATATATTAGAAACTTTGAAAACTTACTTACAAAGTAAAAGTAAACATTTTGTGGTGGCCATCATGTTACTCATTAACAGAGATACAGTCACCTGCTGCAAATATGAACAAGTTGCTCTTGAACATAACCAGCTTCAGCAATGTGAAGCAGATTTTTGAACAGTCGAATTAATACAAACCAACTTCTTCCCAAAGAAACAGCCCTACATAAATGTGCATGTCATTTAGCAGCCTCTGTTGTGATTGAACATTTCCCACTTGCCATTTAATCAATATTGAGCTAAATCCAGTTTAAATAAAGCAAAACCAGAGTATGTAGATATGAGTTTTATCCACCCAAGGCTGGCTCTGCCAATAAAAAAATATGTTTTAAGATTATGGCATGATGAATCCACACTTGCTTCATACCATCAAATTTATTTGTACTGGCAAAGGTTATGTTGTTATTTCAATAGATGTACCAGCTTAAATTCTGGGATCAATATTTTTTCAATAGAAACTCAACATATAGGGGTGGGCAGTCTCTGGTCCACTGCTAATTTCATGTGGCCCTCAGTCTGATTTCAAAAGTCCTTTGCAAACTATTAATTCAGGCGTCTGATGAGAATGATCTATCCGTTTCCTGAAAGCCCGCTGCCTGGGGTGGGAGAGAGGCAGGTTTGGGCAAGTTGTGTGTGCATGTGCAAAATAGAGAGAAGAGGGGAGAAGATGAAGTAAAGTGAATAGGTCATCTCACACACTCTTCCCTGCCCCTGCCATCCACTTGCTTCAGCTTTACCACCATTGCCAAACTTCTCCATAGGACTTTTGTTGAAGGAAGGCAGCCTTGAACAGTACAAAGATCACCTCATCTGTATGTGGTGCATACATGCAGGAATTTCAGCAAGCCCCTCTCCATTATAACCTTATAAGTATCATTAAAATCTTGCATTTGTGGTTCTTTTCATAGCATGCCTTTTATATAACACCATGCCTGCCATTATGCCATTAAACAGTAAGAGAAGAGGAGGTCTGAGTATTGCAAAGTTTGTTCAGAAATGATTAACATCATATTTGAATAGAAAGGTCTGAACAAGAAGCAGGATGCTTGTTTCTCATTGTTTTTATCACCCAGGAATGTGAATATTTACTTAGATTTGTGAGGGGTATCTTGTCTTAAGCTTGACCGAATGGGTCCTCCATAAGAACTATTTGCATGTTTTAGTAATAGCTATCTTGTAAAAATAACTTATCAATTCAGAAATATAATTTATTACTATGGCTCTTCTCCACTATGGTGACTTGGATAATTTTCCAATAGATATGTGACATCTTCATAACAACCTGTGAGTTAGTTTAACCTAGAAAAAGTGCCAGGCTCCAAACTGTGCAAGAAGTATCTTGCTAAATAGGCTTTTGAACTGTCTATGATCTTAATCCAGCATTATAATTATTAATTGGCTTTCTGTTGAGAAAAAATAAATTATTTAGGGAATGAAAACTCCTTTATCTAAAATCCATATACTTTCTTAGATTTGTAGCATATGCTAAAATTAATGGCACATAGCCTAAAGTAAAGTATAAAAAAAGGACATGACATGCCAGAAAAAAATTAGCATCAAATTCTATGAAAAGATTATGGTACATGAATAGCATGTTTTAATCACAATCAATGTACACTGAGAGTTAAATGCTTAAGTCATTTTCTATTGATTTGAAAGTGTGATGCCACATAATAGTGTAGTTTGAAAGACTGGCTCTATCAGCATGGTGAAGTTTACATCAAAATAATGTTTTCAGAAGTTTAAAAATTCTAAGATCACGCTCCTAGTTAGATTAACTTCCGTAAATAAATTTCTATATCATATTGTTTAACAATCTGTCTATAGTTTGCATGCCATACCAAAACTCTGGGGAAAAAATGCTTCTAGCATGACAGTTTGAAAAAGATTGCCAACACATATGCATATACAGAATGATACCGTAATTGAAGTCCTTCTGCCTTCCTCCTTCTGTTCTGGATGATTTGTGGGTAAAGGTATTGGAGGCAAGAAAAAATATCTATCCTGTCTGGTTTAGAATCTCCTAGCAGAAAAAACAGATCAAGACAAGATCACATATGATTCCACCAAGAGTCTGTATATGATTGGGGTGGGATAGAAATGTGATAAATAAATAAGTAAATAAATAAATAACTGTGACATATAGCAAATATTCAGCTACTATAATGGAAGAAACTGTATGTTTTAAGAATACATAAACTGAATGGGACACATTCAGATCAGACCTTAGTGGAAGGAGGAAGAAATGAGATGAACCTCTGGAGTCATCTGTTTTCCTGAATCTTCTGTGATTCCCACTGGATCCAAATGAGAGCTTGTGTAGGGGACTTTAGAGGAGTGGGAAGTTCCATGAAGACAATCCCTTTCTTCTCTTCTTTAGCTAGGAAGGAGCCCTTATATTCACAGAATGGCTTCTCTTGATGTAACTCAATGTTTAACCTAATTATTTATGTCTTGATATGGATGGAGTTGTTCACTTATTTCTTTTCTTTTTCTTTTTTACTTCTAATATGTATAATTCTGTTCTATGCTGAGGAAAGTCTAGAATCCAGTTCCATGAAATACTCTTCTCTCTTGAAAACAGGATTTAGTTTTATGCTTCAGTGTTACTATGATGTAGAATTTTTTAACGTAATATTCTTGAACTTATTTCACTGCTGAAATTTTTACAGGATTAATGTTAATATTCTATCATATTCGTGTTTCCCACTTTATTTCTGAAGGAACCAATGGCAATATAAGC